TCTCTCTCTTTGACTTTCCTTTTGCCTCTGTCTCTTCTTCTCTTTCTGCTTCTCTCTTTTTCTGTCTCTCTCTTTTCTTGACTCCTTCTTTGTCTCTCTGTCTCTTCTTCTCTGTCTTTTCCTCTCTCTCTTTGACTCTTTGTCTCTCTGTCTCTTTCTTCTCTTTCTCTCTGCTGGTCTTTCCTTGCCCCTTCCAGTCGCTTCTGCTGCTGTTCTCTTAACTACTGTCGGGGGGGAAGGGAGTCTAAAATCAGCTGTAACTGTCTATGTAGGGAAACCGGTCTGGGTGCCTTGGCTTACAGGTTACCTTGTGCCATACCTTTGAAACAAGGGACCTGTCCAGGCTTCCTTCTGATGGCCAACCCACCTCTAATGCTGGCCAGTCTATTTCACACAAAGTTCTAAGTGTTCCTGGTGTCATAGTAACAACGTAATCTCCCTTAAATCCTTTCTTGAAATTTTTCACCATAGCTCCTAATGGGATGGGCTTACTTTGTGCCTGACCCACGTCTCCTCAAGACAAAACACCACGCTCACACCATATGCACACTACAAAACAGAGAACGAGTAAAAAGGGCACACACACAGTTTTACAGTTGATGCCAAACCAGAATCAAAACCAAAATCAGAGTATCAAGAAATCCAAGCCAGGTCAAAACCAAAACCAAAGTATCAAGCAATCCAAGTCAAGTCAAAAACAAAAACCAAAGTGCCAGTACAGGTACACCATGGGTGATCAGGCCACGCTTCCGCTCAAATGGAGTGGGCAAGTTCCTAAGACCAGTCCTGTCAAGCAATTCAAACCAAGTCAAAACCAAAACCAAAGTGCCAATACAGGCACGCCGTGGGTGATTAGTCCACACTTCCACTCAAATGGAGTGGGCAAGTTCCAAAAACTAGTCTTACTAAGTTTTAGATGTCCGAACTCCAAGTGCCAGTTCCTTCTGGTGTTCAGCAACTGCGTTGATCCTCCATGGGGGCCTGCCACACACTGCTCTGGCGAGGTGTCCAACCGGGGCACATACCTACCCGGGAGCGCTCTCAGGATCTGCGTCGCTCCGACTGGTTGGAGTCCCCCGCAGAGATGTTCCACAGGGCAGGCTAAAGCCGCCTAAGGAGCTGCCTCGATGGTCCGATGGTCCGTTAATCACCTCGCTTCCCGGTCAGGCAACCAAGAAATGTAGCGGGACGAGCCGCAGACAAAACCCCTCAGACACCGACATAGTGAAGGGAGTGGCTTTAATCAGCTGGGAGCATTGGCAGGCTAGCGTCTTAAAATCCCAGCTTGTCAGGTGCTCCACTTCTGTCCCTTTTAAGGGCTCACAACTCTGAGGGTTCCCCGTGAGAGGGTTGTGATCAATTGAGCAAGCCGGGGGTACGTGACAGGGCTGCAAGCACCGGTGGTCAGAGTGAAACAGAACAGAATGGGAGGTTTCACAATGTCTTTCCATACAATGTCTGGAATCTATAGATAACATCAGTTGTTAGGTCAGGGGTCGAATTTTAACTACCAGGCTTAGGTCAGGCAGGCCCAGGTCTGGTTTCAAGTCTGGTTCCTAGGCACCGGGCTACCTGCCTTTAGTTTCGCTTCTCTTTCCTTTTTGGAGTATAACACAATATAAAACAATATGAGAGGGTCTCTCTCTTCCCTCATTTCCAGAGCAAAGGACGGGTTTGTTTACTGTCCAGTATAATAAAGATAATGTCTCCCTTAAGGAAAATTTTCTTTAAAAAATATTTTAAAAAGAGAAAAATGCTCAGGGCTCTTCTCATGTAATGGCAGGTTTCTACTGGAACAATACATTGCCAAGAATCACTAAGTTTTTTTAAAGCAGAAAAAAGAAAGAGGAAGTACTTGCTTTAGCAGATGTTAAATTAGTCATAAAGCTATAATAGCTAAAACAATAATTGTGGTTCTGGCATAAGAAAAGATAGGTAAATCGATGAAATAGAAAGAATAGCTCAGAAGCAGATTCTAAAACACAGAAGTTAAAATATGAGGAAAGTGTTACAAATCAATGGTGAAGGGTTGAACTACTGGATAAATTGTGGCTATGAAAAACTAGTTGGATGTTTTGGGGAAAAATCAATTTAGGGATTCACATGATACGTCAATATGCAATTCTGATGGATAAGAATTAAATATAGAGAAACACATCAAACCATTAGTAAATATAAAAGCAATGCCTGGATGAAAATCAAATCTCCAGGTAAGAAAGAACATTTCGAAATGGCCTTCAGAATTTTTAAATTATCATGTTTTTTGACTCAGCAATTTAACTAAAAGAATGCAAACATCATTTTTATGGATCTCAGACAATTGACTGGCTTGCTCATTGCTACATTTGTGGGTGGTAGAAAGTCAATAAATATGAATTTAAAAAGAAGTTGCACAAAAACTTAAAGGTGTACGTTCAGAAAGGATGTCATAGCGGTGGCCATTTGTGTGAGTCAGTAGCCAACGGTCACCCTGTGCCTTGAGATTTAAATGAAATTCACCTGGGAATCCTAACCCTGTGGAATGTACATGGCCCTCCCTGTGATTTCTGTGAGTTTTGGCAGTTTTATTTTCTCACAGTTCTTTCTATGTTGCTCAGAGCTCTGGTTCTGTTTCAAGCCCACTTGCATCTCACCTCTTTTAGCCTGTGTTGTCTTTTTGATTTGAACCAACGTACATGTGAAATTTAACCCTCTTTCCTTACCATTCTATTTTTTCAAGACGAAACAAGACAAAACAGAACAACAAAAACACCTCCCAAGCCATGTGAATGTGGATTTTTTACAACCACACAAACTGACTCATTCAAAAATTAATATTAGACCTTCTCATACATAAAGGCCTTTTGTTCTCTTTCCCATGAAGAATTTCTCACTGACCACTTTTGTCCATGGGCTCTGGTATCCTGCTTTTTCACTTGACCTTCTCTCTCCACCTCAGGCATTTCCTGACATCTTACCAGTTCTGTGTTTTCAGGATTTGCTTTCCCATGGACTATTTAGGGACAGTTAAAATACCCAAGGGGGAAAAAAAAATCAAGCTTTTAAAGAATTAAAATAAATTTTATTCACGATTCTTACTGAGGACTATAGACTGAGGCCCATAGCCCGGGAGGAGTCTTTTAGGGAGATCTATCGGACTCCTTCCTCTAAAGCAGTGTTTCAGCCCATTGGTAGGTAGGTGGTGGAGGTTAAGTATGTGCAAAATCACATCTAAGTTTGGGTGCAAGAGTACATTTGAATATAGTTTACTAAAGTACATTTGGTTATAGGTAGTAGAAGCATAATGACTAACCCCATGAGATGTTATCGTGTGTAAGAAAAAGCAAGGACTAGAGTCACTTAACTTTTAAGAAATACAGTGACTCAGGCAAGAGGCATGGGGGATCATGTGCTCTATCCGGTTTTGTCAAAGTATCTTTCTGGAAAGCTGCAGGCCTCACAGTCAGGGGCTTTGTAAAATTACCCTGGCAAGCAGAAACAGGCAAACAGCCTCCTTCCGTTTGCTACTTTGTCTCGCGGTATGCAGAACAATTCTGCTTTCTAACCCTCTCCATTCCTCGACCTTCTTTGCATTTCTAAAGCTTTGATAACATCTAGACTACTGGAGGGACCATTAATTTGGCCTCAAGCTTTAACAGTACAGAAAATCGGTGGAGGTTTCCACATTTCAGACCTCCTTTTCTTTTACCCACCAAGATTTATAAGTAAAAGGAAGCAATATGGATACTCGTTTTCCCTCTGCTATGAAATATGCCTTTCCTCTTCCCTTACAAATGGCCACAGACAGTTTGGATTTTAAATATTTTTTTTCACCAAGCTACATTTGTAAAAGTAAGAAAATTAAAAATGACCCAAAGGATCATCAATAGAAGATACCAGGTTAATAAATCATGATACAGTAGATTGAAGAATGTAATAGGTCCAGATGTTCTGAAATGGAAAGATGACCAAATCTGTTGTTAAGATACAACAACAACAACAACAAAATGTAAGTTAAAAAGCCAGTTGCCCGAAAGTATGTGTAATATGAAACCATTTCCACGGGGCATTTGCAATGTCTGAATACATTATTGGTTGTCACAACTAGGTGGTAGTGGTGGTGAGGCTACTACTGGCCTCTAGTGGGCAGAGGTCAGGGTTGCTGCTAATCATTCCACAGTCCACAGGGCAGCTTTCCAAAGAATTTGCTGGCGGCAAATACCAACAGGTCTGAGATTAAGAAACCCTGTTCTAGGCCGGGCGCGGTGGCTCAAGCCTGTAATCCCAGCACTTTGGGAGGCCGAGACGGGCGGATCATGAGGTCAGGAGATCGAGACCATCCTGGCTGACACGGTGAAACCCCGTCTCTACTAAAAAATACAAAAAACTAGCCGGGCGAGGTGGCGGGCGCCTGTAGTCCCAGATACTCGGGAGGCTGAGGCAGGAGAATGGCGTGAACCCGGGATGTGGAGCTTGCAGTGAGCCGAGATCTGGCCACTGCACTCCAGCCTGGGCGGCAGAGCGAGACTCCGTCAAAAAAAAAAAAAAAGAAACCCTGTTCTAGATGAATATACACCAAACTCTTAACAGTGGTTATCTCCAAGAGTTGAATTACACTTTTCCTAAATTTTAATCTTTTTGCATTTCTTGTAACGAGCTTATTATAATCAGGAAAAAATGTGAAAAACTATAAACAGTTGGAAGAGCTTGCACATAAAAAAAAATTTCTAATCAAATTACACGGAAGATGAGCAGATAGGGAGAGAGCAGTGCTACAGAATCTAGGAGAGGAGAGACGTCCCCTCCCAGGGACACCCAGTTGGGAGAGAACTCAAGTAAGAATCAGCCTTTCATTCAAACGGAGGAGTTTCCTCCTGAGAGCACATCTCACCGATAGCCAGTTCTTTCCTAGTCTCACCGGGCAGTGCTCTGTCTTCGGAGATTACGAGTGGTTGAAGGGGTAGAGAGGCCAGGTGTGGAAGCTTGTGCCCTGTCTGAACATCACACCCAGAGTCCAGGGGTTTGGAGAATGTAACTGTTAGGTGTTTAATAGAACATAAAAGTACACGTGAAATAGAAGTCATAGCGCTATTTATTCTTCCACGGGGCAAATTTCCCTTTTTAATTTTTCTGTAGTTGTTTTGTTACACTGGAGTCTCTTGACCGCCATCTGGTGGACAGATTTCCATCACCCAATCGGATGGTCAGCCTTCCCCACAAACGTTTTAGTCACACTGTGTCACTGTCTGGCAGGATCATGTCTTGTCTTCAATTCCCCAGCACTTTGTGCAGTTGACACATTATGGGTAACCAGAGTCTGTTTGTTGAAGTAGTAAACATTGGTCCATTAGAAGCTGTGAGTGAATAGTGAAGTCATGTATGAACTGGCATTGGGAAGGAGGAACTGAAAACCAGGAATAAGCTGTCCTGATTGCGAAGGGTGAGTGCAATGCCGGACTGAGGAATGAAACCAACTCCAGGCCAAAGAGCGTTGAAGATTCCCAACAGGCTCCCCAAGGACACACAGGGAGCCCAGTAGAATTTTCCTGGAGCCTACTGAACTTCTGCTCGGAGTGGACTCGGCCCTCTGCCCAGATGAGGTGCCATGAGGTACACAAAGGCTCTAATATGTAATTTGACACTTCCCTGGGTAAAATAGAAAGTACAGTGGCCAGACCCCAAAGGAAACTTAGGTACTTCCTCTTTACCCCTTTTTTTCTGCTTTAAAAAAATCTCAGCGCTTCTTTCCTGCCTTTCAGCTCTGCTCCTCTCAATTCCGCAATAACACAAATCCCTGGTCTCCTAAGAGTGGGCCCCAGGAGAGTCTGCAAACTCATCACCTTCTAACGGGGACTGCTGTCACTGAGTGGTCCCAAGTGGGCACTAGAGGCCAGTGTTGCAATGTTTTCAGACTTTTCAAAAGAAACAGAAATCTTTATTATCTTGTGAAATCCCTTAATTTGGAGCCAATACTGGCTCCAATTACTTTTGAAACACTCCATGGGCCAAAAAGCACTTGTGTTTATGGCCAACAATTAGTGACTCATCAAAGAGGCTCCCTGGACTGAGTGTGGTGGCTGATGCCTGTAATCCCAGCACCTTGGGAGGCCAAAGTAGGAGGATTACTTGAGCCCAGGACTTTGGTACCAGCCTGGGCAACATAGCAAGACCCCGTCTTTACAAAATTTAAAAAATTAGCTGGGTGTAGTGGCATGGCTCTGCAGTCCCAGCTTCTTGGGAGGCTGAGGTGAGAGGATTGGTTAACCCAGAAGGTTGAGGCTTCAGTGAGCTGTATTCTTGGCACCGCACTCCAGTGTAAGTGATAGAATGAGACTCTGTCTCAAGAATTTTAAAAAGTAAAAAATTAAAAACAGATTTCTAAGCTTCTTCCCAATGTTTCTGCCACACTGTGACTCTGACCTCTGCCCACATTTCTACATGGCTAATTTTTAAATCGGGTCAATTGCTGATCCTAGGTCAGCAGGAACCACAGGGTCAGGAGTGTTCTTTCTTTGAAGTTTCAGATTCATCAGTTTATCTTTAGGAAAAAGAACGAAACTTCTCTTTAGGTAAGGTATCTACCAGAGCAGCCCCCACTCCCACCCGAAAGTCACCTGAATACAGCTATTTCCTGTGCTTCTTTCTGCTACAAATCTCTGCTGCATGTTTTGTTTTATGCATCAAAACTAGATCGACCTCTGCATTCTGATCATTTCCCCATGGTGTTGTCTTTTTCCAAACTTTCTGTTTTCATTAACTTAAAAAGTCTATGATGCTCTCAAACTGATTAAACTCATTCCAATCAAGCACTACATGCTGAAGGTAGTGAATCGCATTGCCAGTTGGGCTTTAAAAAGAACAGGTTTGAATGTACATCCTAATGTATTATATAATAGATTGTGAATATGGGTTGTGTTGAATCTATAATTATGAGGGATTTAATACATTGGGGTCTACATTCAACCCCGATATACACATACTTATATATATGTAAAATGTTTGGCCCCTTAACTTAGCCTTGCTGACAGTTATGGGAAAGTTTCTAGAGTTGTCAGACACAAGCTCCTATGAGAATCTGATCTAAGCAACTCAGCCTTCCCTCAAGAAAAAAACACTCATAAGCAAACAGTTTCCCAAAGTCTGTGCATAGACCCTTAGGCATACCTGGGCCCCAGGTAAGAACTCCTGTTATATCAGTAAGGGGCAAGGCAACTGCTCAGAGCCTATAGGTCTCGTTTGATTTGAAGGTGGCTTGTTGACCATAAGCTCTTTCTCAGTACATCACACCTTCCAGTAGAACTGAACCAAAACTCTAAGATACCCTTTTTATGCTCCCTTGGGAATTTAGGGCCCTTACCATGTATAGCTTCTCTGGGGTGGTTTCCGATGCTCATCAATTCTCTGATATCAACTGGGTATGTTACCAGTGGAAGATATCCCGGTTATCAGTGGCAAATTCATATATCTCTGCAGCAACCTCAATTCTTGCCTCCTCAGAAGAAAGAATTCAACTGAGGGGCATAAGGCAGGAAAAAGATAGAGGCAAGTTTCATTGTAGGAGTGGAAGTTCATTAAAAAGCTTTAGAGCAGGAAAGGAAAGAAAGTGCTTTTGGAAGAGATGCAAGTGGGCACTGAGAAGGTCGAGTGCCCCGTTTAACAATCATCCTAGGACTTTATAGGCCAGCAAACTCTGGCGTCTTGCGCCCCCTTTCCATGATTCTTCCCTTAGGTTGGGTTGCCTGCATGCACAGTGCCCTCCTTACCCTTGGGAAGTGAGCACATGCAGTGTGTTTAGGAAGTTGTACACATGCCCGTCTGAGGCTTTCTTCCCTTCTCCTGTGGAGTGCCCTCAGAAGGTCATACGCCACCATTTTGTCTCTTAATGCGCATGCCTGGGAAGTTGCCTCTCTTGGCGTCTGCAGTCAGTCAACACTTTAGTGCAACGGTTGTGGACCATCAAGAAATGACCTCTCTCCAGAGGCTGGCTGCCAGTTTATCACTTAGAGAGACAACGTGATAATCATCAAACCGTCACCTGACATTCCTGGTGGGTGGAGGAGAGCCGTTTCCTGCCCCAGTCACACCTGTCTAACTACTTACAACAAGTATCCAAAAATTGAATTATGACACTATCTGGAGTTAGTGCAGATCCCACAGATTAAGGGCTCAGTCCTATCAGACTTCCCTCACCTCAAATGTCAATCTCATCTGGGCCAGGCCACCCATAGTTCTGACCTACCAGCTATAAATCAAGGATTCCCAGGATCCCCTCCTCAAGTTCAATAATTGGCTAGAAGAGCTCACAGAACTCAGAAAAACAGTTTACTTACATTTACTGACTTATTATAAAGGATACAACTCAGGAACAGCCAAATGGAAGAGATGCAGAGGGCAAGGTATGGGGGGGTAGGATGAGGGTGGCACAGAGCTTCAATGCCCTCTCTGGGTGTGTCACCTCCCAGCACCTAGTAGCTCTCTGAATCTGTTGTTCAAGAGTTTATAGAGCTCAAAGCTGTATAATACCACTTCCTAGAGGTCAGAGGGTGGGGCTGAAAGTTCCAACCTTCCAATCACTTGGTCTTTTTAGTGACCATCCTGTTCTGAAGCTATCTAGGGACCCCATCTTAAGTTACCTTGTTAACACAAGCTTCAGTGTGATCTCACAGGGCTCATTATGAATAACAAAAGGTAATCCCATCAGTCATGAAATTCAAAGCATTTTAGGAGCTCTGTGCCAGGAACCCAGGAAGAAGACCAAATACATTTTTAAAATGATCTCACAGCTTCTCTGTGCTTACTAAGATTATAGCTGATCACTCAGTGTTCCCACCTCTAACTTTTTGCTTGATTGCCATCTTCTCCATTCATCTGTATTTCTCTGTCTTCAACTGGATTAGGACTGGGCTTAGGGTCAGAACCAGGGTTCTTTTGGCATTGGTGATGGATCAACCAAGAGAAGGCTAAAACCTCCAAACCTGATCATTCTATCAAGTTGGGACTGACTCCAGTAGTAAGTAACACAACGATGTCCAGGGAGAAGCAGGAAATAAATATCCAGGCATGTGGGCAGTGCAGAGCCCCCAGAAAGCCAAGCAGGATAGCAGGTGGCATTAGAGATGGCTAGAAGCAGGAACCTAGCCAGACGACTGCAGTTCAAGGCCAGGACTTTAATCTCTGGAATTGGGAAGAGCAAGACAGGAAATAGAGTATGAAGCCAGGAGTCAAGGTAGGAAATTGACACAAGGGAAAAGCAGGCACCCAGTTACCAATGTTGTGGTACAAGCATTGTATTTAAGATAAGGAAGATGGGCACGGTGGCAAATGCCTGTAACCCCAGCTACATGGGAGGCTGAGGTAGGAAGATTGCTTGAGCCCAGGAGTTCAAAACCAGCCTGTGCAACACAGCGCAAACCCATCTCGATAAATGAATAAATACACAAATAAAATTTAAAATAACACAAGGAAATAATCCAGAAACAAGTACATCTAAGCTGAGCTAGCAATAAGGTGGCTTGATTCCAAGTCAATGAGCTTTGACCCTATAGTTCTTAACACACTTCTTAGGGATCAATTCATCTCTGAATCAAGATGAGCTGAACCTGCAAATGGGGACCAAATGGATCTAGTAGGGGGTTTTAGAGGTCTTCAGGTGGTAGAGAGCCAGGTGGGAAACAAGAGGGATGCCATCAGCATCCTCATCTTTGGTAATTTTTAAATAACAATTAATATGAGAAGTCAGTGCTGAATATTTCCTGGGCCAGAGGCAGATAGTCCAGGGATATTTTCCTGTTTACCTTAAAGCAAGTAGAAAGACAACAGAGTATTGTGGTTATAACTGAATTTGTTTTGAGACAGAGTCTCCCTCTATCGCCTCGGCTGGAGTGCAGTGGTGCAATCTCAGCTCACTGCAAGCCCCGCCTCCTGGGTTCTCGCCATTCTCCTGCCTCAGCCTCCTGAGTAGCTGGGACTACAGGCACCCACCACCATGCCCAGCTAATTTTTTTGTATTTTTAGTAGAGACAGGGTTTCACTGTGTTAGCCAGGATGGTCTCAATCTCCTGACCTCATGATCCACCCACCTCGGCCTCCCAAAGTGCTGGGATTACAGGCGTGAGCCACTGTGCCTGACCCCAATTTTTTAAGTACTATATTTGATTAGTAAATAATATAAACCACTGATACCTGGACATGGATGTAGCCATAAAATGACCTTAAATATATAGCATCATCCTAGCAGTCAGGGATGGGCAATAAGAACAGATATTGTAGCCCAGAAAACTGGTGAGCCTTGTGGAAGACAGACCACCATCCTTTCTTTTCCCCTAGGGAAAGTTAATGTCTCTTTCAACTATGTTCCACAACACACATGAAATACTTTGGATACCTAGTTATTTCTGTATGTTTCCTCAGAACATTTACTTTGTGGAGCTGTTTATCCCCAGCATCTAACAGAATGTCAGGCCCAGAAATATGGGTTGGATGAATGAATGAATAAATGCCCAATGAATGAATGAATGGTCAGGGAATTCTTTTCTGAGACTTCATCTAAATAGGATTGGCTATAAACACATGGCATCTCTAAAGGTTATGAGAGCCTTTCCTTCCCTCTGAGTGAAGAGATTCACGTTAGTTGTTCATCAAGGTTAAGTCACTGGTGAGCCAGGGCTTCAAGACACACTGGAAATGATATGTAATAAATTCTAAGCTTTGCTTACTCACAATGTCCCTGCTGGCCAATGAAAAGTTTCCTTTATTCGATGCATCAGATTTATTTCTATAAAAAGGGCCATAATCAAACTCCAGGAGAATGGTAAATTGCTGCTGAGATGATATACAGGATACAAAAAAATATAAAAATAAGCCTTTGTTGAACCCCAAAATATTCTTTGTAATAGATCTATGTTTATTGTAGAACATAAGAGATCCCAATGTCTTATTCTTCCTGTTCTTGTAATGCCTATGCTATGAGAGCAGAAAACAGAAGGAATCAATTATTCAGTAATTACAGAACAAATAACTGGAGGATTGAATTCTGTATCACATTTGGTTCTATTAAAACAATGAGGCTGGGCACGGTGGCTCAAACCTATAATCCTGGGAGGCAGAGGCAGGAGGATCCCTGGAGCACAAAAATTCAAGACCAGTCTGGGCAACATGGTGAGACTCTGTCTCAACAACAAAAAAATAATAATAATAATTAAAAAATTAGCTGGGCATGGTGGTGCACCTCTGTGGTCCCAGCTACTCAGGAGGCTTGCTTGAGCCCTGGAGGTCGAGGCTGCAGTGAGCTGCAAAAAGCAATGATAACATGTACACAAATCAAAACAAAAGAAAAAATTATCTATAATGCTACCATCTTACAATGTTTTAAATTTTTTTCTTCAAGACAGGGTTTCACTCTGTCACCCAAGCTGGAGTGCAGTGGTACAATCACAGCTCACTGCAGCCTCAGTCTCCTGGGTTCAAATGATCCTCCTGCCTCAGCTTCCCGAGTAGCTGGGACTATAGGCTCATGCTCCCATACTGGCTAACTTTTTTATTTTTTGCAGATGAGGTCTCACTATGTTGTGCAGGCTGGTCTTGAGCTCCTGGCCTCAAGCAGTCCTCCAGTCTGTCCTTCCAAAATGTTGGGCTTATAGGCATGAGCTACTGCACCTGGCCTGTTTTAATTTTTATATGGTCTGTTTTACGCTTTATGTTTGTCTGTATTTTTCAAACACATAATGAAAAGAACTCATGCATGCAAAACACGCACAGACTGCTTTTATGTGTATACGGGCTAGGCCAGCCTGGTGGTAGACATCAGGTCACACTAGCAGTAATCAGACAATGTTTCTCTGATTCTAGCCCTACTCATTCTGCAGAAATTCCAGTTCTCCTCACATCCTTCCTAACTAGTTTTTGAATTCTCAGGAACTAATCCTCTCAGCTATCATGTGTCATCTCTGATTTTCCTCTCCTTTTTAGCATCTCCCTTTCAGCATGTCTCCTGTTGCTGGTGCTGCTGCAGAAACTTCAAAAGCTGCCCGGTTCCTCTGCCCTAGTGTTATGCCCTCTTCCATTCTTCTTCCAGCAGCCAGCAAAGGCTGGTTTGACTCCTTGATTAGCTTGCTTGTGATCAGCAAGTCCACTGTGTTGGAATCAGGGACATGGGCTATCAAGCAGTGCAAATGTGGAGATTTTAATGGAACTGCCCTTGTGGTTTTTACAGGCTTTTTATTGCAGCCCATACTCCTTTGAGCATCCGTGAGTCCACAGTTTGAGGGAGAGAAAATTAAATGGCTAACAGTCTTTTTAGGACCACCTATTTCTTTTTTTTGCTGATTCTATTCCTAAGCTGAGGTTGTAATACTTGAGTCTCTTTTCCTTATAATGAATTTTTGCTCAGTAGGTTCCTCAGTACCACATGCAAACATATGCCAGGTAGGTCTCTTCAGACAGGCCTAAATATGCTCAAAGTCTTGCGTGAACGCAGTTTGAGGTGTCTGGGCATCCTAATACAATAGCAAAGATAGAATTCCGAGTTTTGCTTTGTTCATTTCACATTGTGAGTGTGTTTGCAGGTCACTAGAGAGTTCTCATAATTATTAACTAAGTGGTTATATAATAAATATTATATAGGATGGGCATGCCATAATTTACCTAATTGTTCTCTTAATTTGCACATTTATGTTATCACTGATTTATCTCTAGTTAAATAATGTGAGTTGAGCAAGGACAAATTAGGTGGTCTTGATTGTGTGTTTTATTTTGGAGACATATATATTAGTTAAGGGAATTCTTGGTTCTGTAACCCCCCACATTTCAAGAGCACAAAACTCTAACCATTTATTTATCAGCCATATACCAGTCCAGTGTGGGGCTTTTTATCAGCAATGTTGGGGAGAGCTCTGCCCCACACATTCATTAAGAGACCCAGGGGATGGGGGCGCCACCATCATCAGCACATGGTTTTTAAGGTCTCTCCAGGCACCATAAATAGCCAGCAGATGAGTAGGAGAGACAGATTTGTGTGAGAGTTTTTTAAGTTAAATTCACCCATTTTAATGGTACAGTTTGATTTACTTTTGCTAATTGTGTATAGTTGTATAACCACCGTGAAAATAAAAATATAGGCTTTCTAACATCCTAAAAATTTCCTGTTGGCTTTTTACATCTGATCCCCTCTTACAAACCCCTAGCGCCAGACAACTTTCTGTCAATACAGATAAACTTTGCCTCTTCTCTAATCTCATACAAATGGAACATAAGATGTATTATTTTGTGTTATGCTTCCTTTGTTTAGCATAATCCATGTTGATTATTGTATTAGTTTTTCATTGATTTTTGTTGCTGTGTAGTATTTCATCGTATGGATACACAATGATTTGTTTATTCATTCACTGTTTTTTGATGTTCGGATAAGCCCTAGGTATTAGCTATTATGAATAATGGTGCTATGATTTGCATATATGCCCTTTTGTGTACATATACTTTAACTTCTCTCATATCTACAAGTGGAATTACTGGGTCGTATGACAAGTGGATGTTTAACTTCGTAAGATACTGCCCTACTATTTACCAAAATTGCTGACCATCTTGCACTGTCACCAGCAATATGTGGGAGTTCCAGTTGTTCCAAATTTTGTCAATGCTTGTCATTGTCAGTATTGTTAATTTTAGCCATATCAGTGTATGTGTAGTAGAATCTTATTTCTCATTTGCATGATCCTAACTAGTGAGGTGAGCATCTTTTCACATGTTTATTGGCTATTTGTATATTTTATTCTGTGACATGCCTGTTCAAATATTTTGCCCATTTCAAAAATAGGGTTGTCTGTCTTATTACTGAGTTGTAAGAGTTCTTTAAATATTTTGGATATGAGCAAAGAGTGTACTCTTCTCTATCTAGTACTTTGCCGTACATTCATTATTGCTTTTTGCCTTATGTCCAGATTTGATAGGTGTTTTGTATGAAGGAGTTGGTCTTGCAGAATCTTACTGTATCATTACAGGAAAT